AGTGAGGAGGAGGAGGAGCAATCATGGGAGGACAGAGGTTCGGCAGTACACAGCAGCATGTCCTCTAGGCTTGGCAGGCACGCACGTTGCCTCCAGCACAAAAACGTCTCTCATCCGACATCAAAGGTTGCTTCACCCTCATGTACCATCCCTCCGTCGCTCTCCCTTATCCTCCCTCAACCTCTTTCTCCTTCCCTCACCCACCAGAGCTATAGGATCTCCTTCATCAGTCTCCTCCGACGGGGTCGTCGCTCGCTGCGCATGGAGTCTTTCAGCTGCCTTGTCAAACGCAGAAACGACAGACCTGAATAGCATTCTTCAATTGGTTTGACATCTTTGTAGCGAAGTATCGTCTCTTCTCCTTCCTGTCCTTAGTTGTGTTTCCGACCCGCACAAGTCAGAAGCGACCACTGCAGCAAGCAGGACGTGAGTGTAAGAGCGCAGTGAATACGTTGTGAGTGCAAGGAGGAGGATGCAAGGAGGAGGCGGCGTGATGATGTAGGGTCAAGTTCACACCACCAGCAAAGTCCATGCAACTCAATCATCGTCCACTCTTCGTATGATCGCATGTAGGCAGTGAGCAAACATTATAAACCTCTGTATCCTACATCACTCCACATCACCAGTGACAAGGAGCGCAAATAGGAACATGTAGATCATAGGATTCGTAAGAGAAAACTTGCCCTGCAACAACAACCCTCGTCGTTCTCCTCCTCCTAACTCTCGATCCTGTTACGACTAGATCCTACTCATCTCATCGCATTTAGTATCATTTAGTACCAGTTACTGCACCCCGTTCACATCCTCCTTGACTTCCCATCTCTCATCATCTCCTCCTGATACATCTCATCACTCGTTCTCATCTTCCTCCCTCCTTCTCGTCTCTTTGCTCCCTCCATGCCGCAGCCGCCGCCGCCATTGCAGGGAGCGGATTGGCTGAAAACTGCATTATAGCCTGGTTAAAAATGAAAACCCAGTGAAAGTATAACTCTGTACAGAAGCATTTTAAACTAAAACTAATGTTAATTCACTTACTTTGCTAGACAAAATTGAGGGCAGAATATGAAGACTAGGTAAATGATATTGAGAGGTATTGATGTCTTTCACTCCCTCCTAGCTGATGGGATGAGTAACATTCTTATAAAACGTCGCATCCACGAAGGCGATTAAAACTATTTTATTATAAAACTATTTTGTAATGGTCATGCTTATTTTGCTTGAATCGTGCTGAAATCAGACTTAATGTTGTTAAAATAAGCCTAATTTGCTTAAATTGGAATGACTGTCACTACCCCACCCACACTGGGTCTCCACTGTTAGGATCATTCGGAGGGGTACTTTTTCAGCTTGCCTACAGCGGATCGATTAGAGGTCTCCATGCAGCATAAAAATGTTTTACCAAAGGTATTCTAAAATTAGAGCGGAAGGAGTTTAAACTTCAACACAGTAACTTGACAGTTACAAAAAACGTTACTGATCACAATGAGCGACCGCCGGACCCGGGGCCGGCAGGCCGCCGGGCCCGGCTGCGACGGAGCTGACTAGCGGGGCGGCGGTTACTCAGTGATCGGACAGACGCCCGGCCCGGACTATCAGGCCCGATACCGTAGAACAACCGCGGTCACTTGAGTTCGCAGGGGCAGGTTGACCCCCTCATTTCAGTTTACATTACAACCAACAACATACTAGAGTAGCCCCCTGCTGCTGCTGCTGCTGCTGCTGCTGCTGCTGCTGCTGCTGCTGCTGCTGCTGCTGCCCAGGCTCCTTCACAAGTCCTTGCCTTCCGACCTCGCCTCCTCCCCCGGACTCGAGTTCTCCGTCCTGCCCTCTTGCGACCTCTCTTACAAGTTCACAGGGATCGATGCTGCCTCCCTCCCTGCCCCCCCCCCAACCTCCAATGTCTCTAAAGGGAGGTGGTCACCAACGGCTTCCGATCAGAAGGCAGAGCTCCTCTTTCTCCTTCTCCTCTTCACTCGATGTACTTGTACACGTTGTACTTCTGCTTGAAGCCTGTCGCAATCTCCGTCACAACCTCTCTCCCTCCACCTCATCTCCTCCCACGCTCTTTCTGTCTCTCTCTGTCTCTCTGTCGCTCTCTGTCTCCCACTCTGCCTTCCTGTCTGTCCATCTCCCTCCTCTCCTTTCCCTCCTCTCGCTGCCTTCCCTCCCCTCCCCCCCTCCCCTCTCCCCCCCTCCTTCTCCTTCTCCAGATCCTGCTCCTCCCTTTCACTCACCAGCGGGGCGAGTGCGGAGGATTTTCATCTTCTTCTGCTCAGCTCCGTCAGTCTCCTCCCTCCCCCAGCAGCCTTCCAGCTCTCACATGCTGCTTATCGTCGTCGAAGAAGCCGAAGAGATTCTGATTGACTGACTCCTCTTTCCCCCTCCCCCTCCTCCCTCCTCCCTCACTGCCCGCAAACTTTTCGCTCCTCCTCGCCCTCGGCAGCGGCGTCCCATAGAAGAGGTTGTCCAGCAGCCCCACCTGGCAGGGTCGTCAGGCCCAGCTGGAGTGGAGGTGATAAAGGGAGCACAAGGTTGAAGGAGCCCTGTGTGGCCTGGCGAACTTCCTTACGAACAGCTTCTTGCTGGGGCTATAAAAGGAAGTAAGGGGTAGGAAGGGTAGGAGGAGGAGGAGGAGGAGGAGGAGGAGGAGGAGGATGATGAGGACGAGGAGGAGGAGTTGAGCGTTAAGACAAGGTTAGGGGAAGAGAGAAGAGGAGGGAGGGGGGAGTTACATTGACAATCTTGTTGCTTCTCAGCAGCTTGTCGACATTATTTGAGACTTTGACTCCTGTACACAGATCAGCGCGATGAAAAGGATGGGAGGAGGAAGAGAGGAGGGAGAGGAGGGAGGGAGAGGGAGAAAGGGGAGGAGGGAGGAAGAGGGAGAAAGGAGAGGAGAAGGGAGGAGGGAGGAGGGAGAGGGAGGAAGGAGGGAGGAGTGGTAGAGGAGGGGGAGGAGGGGGAAGAGAGGGGAAGAGAGGGGAGGAGAGGGGAAGAAGGACACAAAGTTTAGCAGGGGACGAAGGTGAACAGGAGAGGACCTGCACGCTCAAGCCTCTTGGAACCTCCTGCTCCGATAAATCAGCGAAGAAATAAAACAAAAGGAGGGAGGGTGCGAGGTGGGGGGAGGGGGGGGAGAGGAGGAGGAGGAGGAGGAGGAGGAGGAGGTTGTGAGGCTAAAGGGGAGGACTCGAGGAGACGAGGAATAATGAGCCCACCTGGTCTACTGTCGATGAATCGTTCGAGGTCGTCGCCCAGCTGTGGAGAGATCAGAATGAGCAGAGAGAGGATGGAGGGAGGGAGACAGGAGGAGGGGGAGAGGGAGATTATTCTCACTTGATCCTTGATGGCGATGTGGCGATGTTTGATCAACGACGAGGACCTTGGGAGAAGAGAAACATCAGATACAGAGGAAGGATGTTGATTGGTGTTGTTGTTGATTGTTGATTGTTGTTGTTGTTGTTGTTGTTGAGGAGGAGGAGGAGGAGGAGGAGGAGGAGGGAGGAGCGGGAGGAGGAGAAGGAGGAGAAGGAGGAGGTTGAAATATTGATGGAAAGAAAGAGGAATGCAGAACTTTTGGGGGAGCTCAGGATACAAGTCCAGCATTCAAGAGATTGGCAACAGGATTTTGAATGATGCCAACTTTTACCTTGTGTGCTTCATGATTTGTTTCTCGTGTTGTTCCCTTTGTTTGACCTTTCAATTCGTCATTGCAACATCATTATTAACCCCATATTCATCATCATCCACAACAACATCAAGACTTTTATCGTTCTGGTTGTCGTCGTGGCCATATCATCAACATCATCATCATCATCATCATCATCCACAACAAGAGCAAGAGCAAGAGCAAGAGCAAGAGCAAGAGCAAGAGCAAGAGCAAGAGCAAGAGCAAGAGCATCATCATCCAAGTTTGTTCACTCACCTCTTTCTCTTCTCTCATCTCCCTTCTCTTCATCTCCTCATCTCTCCTCGCTTCCTCTTCTCCATCCTCCTCTCTCAGAGACCCGCCATGTCCCCGAGACTTCTTAGCAAGGCCCCGCCCGTTATCCTGTAACTTGTCGGAATGTGATGGAGCGGCAGCGAGTTGTTTCTTGTCGACAGGAGCCTGACTAGCATCTGCAACGGAACATTATTCCCTGCTTAACACATTCTCTTTCTCCTGTCTCCTTTCATCCATCCGTCCTCCTTCCCTCTCCGTCTTTCATCCTTCATTCTTCCATCCATTCGTCCTCCTCCTCTCTTTCCTTCTTGCTACTCGCTACTCGCTACTCGCTACTCGCTTATCTCGTCTTCACAATTCCTTCTCCCCTCTCCCTCCCCCTCCTCTCGTTTGTCTCACTCTCAAAATCACCTTCAACATTTCTCGTGGCCGACAGAGCATGCTTCACTTGCTGCTCGGCACGCACAACCCGGCTGACATGTTGCCGCGCCCCCTCTGTCTCTCCTGCTCCTGTCTTCTCTTGTGCGTGATTCGGTTGCGCATGCGTGTTGACGGAATTTGCGATCTCACGCTCCTCCTCCTGTTTGTTCCGTGAGATCGACAAGACATTCAGCTTCACCACTCTGTCATCTCCTCTTCACAACTCCCCTCCTCCTTGTGTTTGTACAAGTGCTTCACACACTTCATGTTCTCTGGTTCAACAACAACGATCGACAGTGCCTGACCTGGAACTCCTTTCGTTCTTGCTGCGACATGATCCTGATGCGAGTATCATCAGAAGACCTTGCAGATGAGGAATTTTGAGAAGCAGGTGAGCGAGGATGAGCAGAGAAGGGAGGGGAGGAGAGGGAAGAGAAGGGAAGGGAAGGAAGGCTGAGAGAGCAGGAGAGTATAGAGGATAGGATAGGAGGGTAAAGAGACGAGAATGAGAGAGAGTTGGGAAAGGGGGGAAAGAAAGAAGGAATTCTGAAGCCTGAGAGAGAGGCAGGAGGATGAAGTGGGTAGGAGGGAGGAGGGAGGAGGGAGGAGGGAGGAGGGAGGAGGGAGGAGGGAGGGGGAAGGAGGAGGAAGGAAGGAGGGAGGGAGCAAAGCTAGGGTGGACGGAAAGATAGAAGGAGGAACAGGAAGGGGTTCAAAAAGCAAAGGATATGAATCAGCAGTGGAGGTCAAGACCTGCTCGAGTGCTCCGAGCCCTTCGCACGATCCTCCCTCTCCAATTTGTCCCTGTTACAGTCTGTCACTCCCTCTCTCCCCTCTCCTCCCACAGGCTCCTCCTCCTACCAGTATCGCATGTCCCTCCTATGATTCCGATCCGCTGCCTGCTTGACATGCGCCTTGACGGCTGCGAGCCATCGCTCCTTCCTCGCATGCTCCTCCTCCACGGCCTCGTGTGCTGCGTCCTTGCTGCCTGCCAGCCGGTCGAAGAAGCTGTCCTCGGACTTCCTCTCGTCTTCGTCTCCCTCTCGTCTCCCAGCATGCAGGGACACCTTCCTCCCCTCCTCCTCTCCCACCTCCTTCACGAACCTCCTCCGCAACTCCTCCGCCCTCCTGTCCCGCTGGGGTGCACCACCAAACATGCTCGCGGCATGCGAGGAAGCATACCGCGTCCCGACCCCCAGCTCATACCGCTCCTTGTGCAGCATATCCACCTTCCTTGCCGTGGCCTCATCCGCTGAGTCCATCCTGCTCCACATCTTCTTGTACTCAGCTTCTTCCTGCAAGTCCTTGCGCGTGCTCTCCCTTGACAGGAGCGACTGACGCGCTGGCACAGCATGCAGGGTGATAAGTACCAGAGCCGCACATGCCAGTACAGCCGGCAACCATTTTCCATGAGACATCCCTGGAAAATCTTGTTTTAGAACAGATGCGACAAGGAGAAGGGGTAACAAGAAGTTGATTGTAATGTCTGATCCTACCGCAAAGCCCTAGTGAGTGAGGAGCTGGTTTTGATGTACAACATGCTCATCGTATTTGATCAAGATCTGAGAACGATGGCTACTGGATTATCTTTGCATCTCTACCACTATCCCTGGCACAGCTGCAATCCTTCTCCTTTTGTCTTCACTCTTTCACGCTGATTCTCACTTCGAATCTACCTTGACCATTCTCCATTCTCCTTCCTCCTGCCTCCTGCCATCTGCCTCCTGCCTCCTGCCTCCTGCCTCCTGCCTCCTGCCTCCTGCATCTTGCCTCCTTCCTGCTATCTGCTCCTTCTTTCCTCCCTCCTCCCTCCACCCTCCAGTTGCTACATCTTAGTATCACCGACCGCCATTCCACCCTACCAGATATCGGAAGATTCATATCACAAAGTCTCATACAGAAGGACTGGAAGTCAAACCTCATATTGAATGTGATATGCAACAGTATCCCGTGCTTGAAGAGGAACAGGGTCGCCTTTCTTGCAGAGGAGCTTTTTGTTGACCCTTCTACACCTGTTCTAGTCAACATAATGCACGGGCTCCTGCTTGGCTTGTATCCCAATACTGCGAAGAGGCCATCATTCGAACAGAGGGTGCGATGCGCGAGTGAGTTAAGATCGATGATGACAAGACCATTACAAGAGCAGG